GATAATGAGAATGATGATTATGATGATGATGATAATGATACTGATGATAATGACGTTTGTAATGATAATGATGTTTGTAATGATGATGATGTTTGTAATTATGATGATGTTTGTAATGATGATGATGTTGTTGATGATGATAGTGATAATGTCAATGATGATGATGATGATAATGATCATAGTGATGATGATGATGATAATGATTATGATATTAATAATGACGATGATAATGATTATGATGATAATGTGGATGATGATGATGACCTTGATGATGATAATGTTGATGATGACAATTATGATGTAAATGATGCAGAACAAGATTGTGATAATTATAATGATTATGATGATGATGGTGTTGATTTCAATGATGATCCTGATAATGATATTGTTGATGATGATGTTGATGATGATGTCAATGATGATAATAATTATGTTTGTGATGATGAAGATAATGTGAATCATGACGATGATAATTATGCAGATGATGATAATAAAGATGTCAATGATGATGACGATGATGAGGACGATGATGATGATGACAATGATGATGATGATTATGATGCTGAAGTTAATGATAGATTAATAGGAAATCGTTAGGACTTAGGTCTTTGTCTTTTTTTTAACTATTGTTGCAATTAATACAATAGATGAACACAAGATCGAATTTTATTTATGCATATAAAAATATTGGAATTATGTTCTTATTATTAAAATGTTATTTTTATAGATTCGAACAAAATTTCTTTTGTTATTATTGCATCTTGATGAACTTCGTCCAATTGGCTATTAAAAAATAAATATTTATTAAGAATGATTTTACATAATGAAAACTTTAACCTTAAGTTCTCTTTATAGTCATAGCAAACCATACAACTAACGGGAATTGGTCTTCATAGAAAATTAAAGGTCATGACGAACTAATTTTAATTTTCAATACAATTCTTATAATGAACACTTTATTTTTAATTTTTACGCCAGTTACTCCTTTTTTTTTACGTTTTCCTTCATTAATTTAGTTATTTGCAATCGTGTTCCATTACATAATCCATTTGATATACTTAACTCTTAAAATAACATCACTAAAGTCCCTTTTTTTAATTTATGTTTATTTAAAAACATTATATTTTATAAATAGTTCCGGGAAATCTGGAAAATTCCACTCATATAAGACACTAATTCATAACTTTTTTTTCAGAGGTAACTATATTTTGTTAATTGCTCCGATAGGAATTCCATCTCTATTACTATGGAAAAGTTTGACTAGTCATACAACTGGCCATTTACCTCTAGACCAAGATAACATTAAGAGTGTATTTTCGAAATTTAAAGCTGAAAAACAAAATTAAGGAAAGTTGATTTAATTATATAGGACGAGGCTTCTATGAGTTTCAAAAAAGCTCTAGAAATTGTTGATTGTACGTTGAGAGACTTATGTAATACAAAACTTTTCTCTGGTAATTTAATAAGAGTATTAGGAGAAGATTTCTGACAAATTTTTTCAGTGATGAAAAACGAGAATAGAACTATGATAATAAAAGATTGTTTTAAATCGTTATTTATATGAAACTGCTTCAAATTTTTCAGATAACAAAATAATATTTGTTCTAGTGATAAAAAATTGAAAAAATTATTGTCAAGAATTGTTAAAGGGGACATAGAAACATTTAACGTTTTTTAATTACGAATAACACATGATGTGTATACTAAAATATTTGGTAATCGCAGCATTTGTCTTGGTTATATTGTAATACTAACTTTACATAATAAATATTTTTTCTATTCAGACAATAAGATTTTTAATAAATTGAAATGAAAAACTTAAACTTGTTACAGTATCGATACTGCAACCTATAAGAATGCTTATAAATTAGATGATAATATTTTGATAATTTTTCCTATAGAGATATCAAAAATATTCATATTATAATAATGTTCATGATAGTACCCTGTTCACTGCCACTTTGAAGTTACACGGAAAGCGTTTTTAACGTCTTAAAGCTCAGAAATATTGCAACTACTAGAGGTTAGAGGCCTTTAAGCTCATCAATGAGTAACTCTGACTTGTCTTGCTTCAAATGCTTAACTGTAATAGGTAAGATTGAGATTAGCACGCAATTGGTCAAACTTTTGCAGCGCTCACCTCGGAATTGGATATACCACAGCTTGACGTTAGACGGACTGTAGAGCGTTGAGAGTGAAGACGCCACACCTCAGAGTTTGGCACCTGAGAAGCGAAACTTCAGGCTATCGAGTAAAGGTAAGATTTCAAGCCGTAGTATGTTGAACGTTGGATCATTTCAGGTAATAAGTCAATTAGATAATAGGTTTACTGATTTATTTTTATTTTGCATACATTTTAATATAAAATCCAAATCGTGTTTATTAAAAGGGGAGAAAAATTAATTGAATTTTACGTTGTTCGTAAAATTAAACTATAAAATAAGTCTTAATGCAAAAATTTGTCAAACTCATGTAATAACTATGAAATAATGTTTGTAAAGGTTTTGTAAACCGGTCTTAATATCGGAAAGTAAAAATTAAAGTAAGCTAATTTTTGTTTTTTTATTTATCTATCTAAATGAATACGTACACGAAATACTTCTAGCGTAATTTTAGCAATAACTATACAGTATATACTATATTTCATACCTCGATACGCTATAATGCTGGCTATTTTTTTTAACTAATAGAACTGGGTCTAATCGGGGGAGGTTTTTTAAGGAGTACAATGCAGTAGCATTATTGTTCAATAAAACCTTGAAAGCTTAATATTCATGGTCATAATAAATTGTGTCAATTCAATAAAAATGATGTTGACCGACGAGTGACTAATTTTTAATATGTTTCATGTTTGTATTTGGGAACGGAATATTATTTATATGACTGTTGTCTTGATGATAACTCATTGTAGGTTGTTTTTTGGTCAACAATCCGTCATATAAATACTTGCTAGAGTTAAGATAATCAATATTTTAACTAATTCTTTGAACAAAAAATTGATCAGATCGTTTCCAGTGACTTATAAATAGCCGTATAACTTTGACAATACCAGTGGACTAAAAATGAACTAAGAATATTATGTTGATAAAAAAAATTAATTCCATTTCTTGAAACAAGTAAATTGCAGTGAGCATGTTGCCGCAAGATTGTTTATTCATGTTGAATTGGAATGGTATTAAGATGTCAATATCTCAAAAAGTAAATAAGACACAGTGTAAATTATCAAACACACACATAATAAGCTTAACATTAAGTTGTCAATTCAAAACCATTTATATGGAAAATTTTACACTCCATCGTAACAGTCTATTAAAAAATAAAATAATAATTAAAATAAACATAAATCAAATGACACATACCTACTTCTGCATGCTGTTTGCTCATTATTGAAATATGGGTAATTAGGCGTTACTCCAACTAAACAACACTAACGCCATGAGGCATTTAAATTTTGAGTTTTGAAAACACAACTGTAAACAAAAGTATTCAAATACAGTCTCGTGTGTAACCTTATAATACTAAACAATACAAAATTATGAAACGCATTATTATATAAATACATACAGTAGACGATGGAATTCTATATTTATCGATGGATTTTATTTACGTTGTACTGTAGACCTTATAAAAATAAGTTCGCAAAAATTTTTACCTCTGCGAGTCAACTTTTAACACGCTATAGTTCGAAATCTCGCCTTCACTCGCTAGCTTGAAGTTTTGCCTCTCAAGTGCCAAACTCTGAGCTGTGGAGTCCCCATTCTTGACGCTCTACAGTCCATCTAGTGTGGAGCTGTAGTATATCCAATTTCGAAGTGAGCGCTGCAAATATTTGACCACTTACGTATTGTTTTTATTTTGACTCGCACAGGACGGTATTCGAAAGTTTAAATTCTAGAGTGTCCAGATCTGCAAGCGCAGAAAATTTTTGATCTGCAAAGCAACAATATTTCTTTCTGTGTACGGTTATAGACAGCAGAAGTAGCCAGTCACAGCTGAAAAATAAAAAAGTCTTCTTACCTCCATTTTAACAAAATACATGTTCACGCTCTCACTTTCGTTGTCGAGCAAAAAATTAGTGTTAAATAGTGTTGAGGTGTAATCCACAATGAGAAAAAATCAGAAATCTAATCACCAGAGGGCAGCATGTATTTGTGAAATACTATATCATACCTCTGGCATATATATTTCATACGATGCCAAGAAATGACTTAAAATTAAATTAAATTACAGCATATTGAATAAAAAATTACACACCCATTAGTTGTGTGAGTGATGAACGTCACAATTAAATCTGACGATGTTTTTGACGATGCCAATGACGATAGCATATATGTGCATAGTAACACAACAATGCAGAGCCTTCATACGCACCGTTTGTCAGAATGGTTATAAAATACGAGAAAAATTGTTTTAATTTTCATTTTAATTTTACCAAGTTAATTAGTTTTAAAACTCCTCAGCCACCGTCCACTACTTCTAAGCTCTACAATATGATTTATTCAATAAAGAATTGCTTAACCGATTTAAAAGTTGGAGAGTTAGTGCCCGAAGCGTGCAGGGGAGCAAAGCTTTACTAGTATATATGCATTACATATATATGGATAAGACAAGGTATGGAGGCAAAAGGACGCAGGTGAGTAAATGCACGCGACACTTTAGGTATAAACGGTAAAATGGCCTTTATTAATACATGAAGTCAATGTTAGAGTAACGTGTGTAAACGTTGAGTGCTAGGGCTGGACTGTTGGACAGAGCATGAGTCAGCTCGCGAGACTAGCTGCTGCTTCTGACAGTAGGCGCGCAAGGGCGCTGATGGGAGTCCGGGTGCCACACACACGAAGAGAGGATGGAATGTAAGGCCTGACGTAATCTAAAGAGACGTCTGCGTGTATGCTGCATCCTTTAATATCCAGGGCTTGGATGGTAGAGAGCAAGTTCATTAATTGCAAGGTCAATGGTCCATGTAGTTGAGTATTTTTGCTCTGCCATCGATAGCTTTCTCAATAAGAATCTGAGTGGTACCTAGGTGCCTCTTGGATGCTCTTGCTTGAGCGCTGCTTCGACGGCTGTGCTGGATGCGTCGGTTCTGGTGGCCAATGCAGCATCGGGACGGAGAAAAGCCATGGTGGCTGCGTTGGCGAGTGCGGTTTCAGCGCTCGCGAAGGCAGCTTAGGCTTCGAGTGTCCACTTAAGGATGACTTTTTTTGCTGCTTTGGGAGGCCCTTAAGCAGATTATTCAGTAGAGTGAGGGTACAGAGTATCTCACAGTTTCTGGCTTTGACACCAAACCTTACGTGATACCAGCAAAAGTCTACGTCATTGGCGGCTTGCGCCTGGTCAGCCTTGGGTCTCGACCGAGACTCGGAGTGTTGACGTTGCCGAGGCTGATGGCTACTGTCATTGCTGCGATTGAGGACTGCCGTACTCAGTTGGCTGACCTGGAGAGAGAGGGCTGTGATGGATTGTGCCAAGGTGGCGTTAGCTGTCGGTGGTGTGGCCGTTGGGGCTGAGATGACTTTCTGCGTGAGAGAGAAGACGCTGGAATGAAATTTGACCAGTTCATCTGCCGCTGCGCTGAGTTCCACAAGAGTTGATGTTTTGAGGACCTTTAGAATCCTGGCAACGTGAGGGGCCATAAGTTTAAGCCACTTTACTTTTAGCAACTCGTCGCTAATTTGGTTGTGGACAGAGGTGCGCATGTACCGCAAGAGCTGCAAGGGCGTTTTGTCACCAAGCTCCAGCTTGTTGAAGAGGAGGTCAAGCTGTTTGTCCTGTGATAGGGCCATGTGGTTGAGATTGGCCTTCTTAAGGTTCCCGAAGAGGTCCGTGTCTAGCGGGCTGGACAAGATGTCTATCAGGTTTGAGATAGCTGCAGTGTCGAGAGAGGAGACGACAAGGTCATATTTTTCTCTGTCACCTCAGACGCCATGCGCATTGAATGCAGATTCCTCGAGAAAAAACCAGGCAGACGGGTTAGACGGCCAAAAACGGAGCAGGTTGCAGTGCGTTTTGCTTGCGAGTTGTTGAGGTGCTGTTGACTGGCCACCACCAGCGCCTTCATTGGCCATGGTGGCTAGTGTTTGTTCTTGCTGGTTGATCTGCTAGAACTGTTGTTAGAGGAACCACTCTTTCTTAGCTTGTTCTCGGCGGACGCGCTCTTGTCACACGCTTAGGAGTCCTTCCTTAGGGGCTTGCTTCTCGCTGGAGATGTAGTTGTCACTGGCACTGGCCAGCCTTGACGCCTGGGTGCCCGCAATGACAGAGCTGGTGGACTGACGTGCGCGCACGGTGTGTGTGTGTTCATAAAGAGTGACTTATGCAGACAATCATATGGATGGGGGGGTTATTATGAGGACAAAAGATTAATTATGCGGACATCCGCATAGTTCTACTATGTTATTGGTACATATGTTGGGAGCACGTCAAGTTCGCATACATCACTTTCGATATGTATAACGCATAGACACTTGTCTAATATTGACAAGGGTCCATGTGTTATCCTTTTCTTTCCCTCTCTCTCTCTCTCTTTCTCTCTCTGAAAATGGATGCTGAAGTGTGTACACGTACTACTGTTGGCTCCGTATTCTTCACGATATTTTTGGCTGTGGTAGTGCCTACTGTTGTTTTAAATGCGACTCTTGTGTGCGTCTTTCTGTGCTGATCCCGTTAGTAGATAAGCTATGTCGGTTCTGGACTCAACCCCCCTAGGGTGGTAGGGGAAAGGAGGAGCTCGTGCTGTTGTACGAGTGCTTTTGGCCGTGGTGGTAATGGTGGGGGGAGAGGGATAGTGCGTCAGCTTGCCGACAGTTCACGCTGTTGTACGAGGGCTCCAAGGTACGGTGAAAGGGGAAACCACGTGAGCAAGGTGTTTCTCTTTCTTGCTTCAATATAAGATTTGTGGATGGGGACACTGCGTGCATGAACTCTCATTTCTCGCTCTTACCTAAGGCAGCATAGATTTATTTATCTTGCTCAGCAAAGTGCTCTCTCTTTCTTCCTCTTGCTGTAAGACAAGGGTTCAAGCGCTGCATGTATATGTATATATGTATATTTGTTTATCCTCTCATGCACATGCTTACGTATACACCTGCACAGTCTCACACTCTTACGGTATATCGTACATGCTCATACGTTACTGTTGTAAAAGTACACGCGTACAAGCGCAAGCGTACGCATACATCACGCGTGAGCATATGCGGTCTCACGAAATCGTACGCATGCACGACACGTGACCGTACGCCTGCTCGCGCGAGCGTTTGCGTGCTCACGCGATCGTATGCATGCATCTCGCGCGAGTCTACGCATGCACGCCCAAACATACAAACTCTCACACAAGGATAGATAAGTACATTTATAATCTTACATTATTATACAGAAAGCAACGTAGCTTTGCGTTAAAAAATTTGCATATGTGCATGCCGTTGTTGTGAAAAGTAGATCTCACCCATGCTCTATAATATGCAAGTCCTCAATAGCTCAGTTGGTTAACTATCTCATTGGTATAAAAGAGTTAATCATTTTGATCTTTTAAAGACTTGAGCTTTGAATTTTTTCTATTTTAATTTATAAATTAACTTCTTTCATATAATTTTCAATTTTTGTAAGCAAGTAATAAGGGAAGGTTGCGTTTAGGTAATTTTAATAAATACATAATGTGTTATTTTATAAAACTTATTGATTATAACTTTACTTTATCATTTACAAATAAAAATTTTATAGATTATTTCTAACATTTTGCTGCACTATCAAGGACATCTTTACTAATAAACCAGTCTGGATTTTTTATTTCAAATTTATAATGTTTGTATGCACTGTAACACTTATCACTATCATACGTCAAGGTTTTTGAAGATAAAGTCTTGATAAACCATTCTTTCAGTAAGTATGCTTTATTTAATGCACAAAATAGCTGTTTGTTTTCAAAATGCTGTTGTCCATGTGTAAGACATATGGGTAAAGAGTAATACTCAATTTCTTCTAAGAAAGGACAACTTGTTGACAAATCACAATCTTCACGTGCTAAGAGTGAACAAATGTACTTGGCTTCAACATTGCCGCACACCTAAATTCTTTTGCGATTTGTGGCAAGATAATACTTTAAATCATTTATTGTTATGTCTCCATCATACGACATAATACCATGCACTTCCAGCGTCTGACGATTATTATATAATTTCACTTTGTGCAATAATTCATTGTAAGCGCTAGGTGGCTTGATCATCCAATGCCCACATATATTCCCATGTAATGATACCACTGCAACTTCTTTCAGTATATAATTTTTATCTGCACCGCAAAAGCCTTGAATATTTATGATGAAATCCATAATATTAGAACTACTCTCTTTTATAACTCTTCTTTTATCAGAAAAAGATTTTTCATTTTGATGAGTATCTATCGGTTGTGATTTTTTTCAAAAATGAGAACAATGATTTATTTCTCTTTTCTTCGTCTTCACCGTTGATGATAGGCTTCTTCTCCTCTTTGCTATCACTTTTACCACTTTTCCACATTGAGAAGCACTGAGGAAAATATGTTGAGCAACCATTATTTATAACTTCTCTTCATCAGAGCTAGTGACATCTTCCCATTTCATTTGAAAATGCAATTTTTTTCATTTTCTTAACATTGTGAATGGCATACATGGATTTATACGAACCAATATGATGAGAGGATGCGGTTGCCGAAGCTGGTTACTCAAATGACGGATAGTCCGCCATATCAGTAACTTGAAAGGTAAATCGCTCGAGCCGTTTTTTAAAATCTCACTGATCACAAAAACATTTGAAGCATCTTTAAGATTCTCTCGAAGCACGTTTCCAATTTCTGTGTCGTTTATATAACCTGATTGTCAATCTATTCCATAATAGTTGAGCTCAAGCCATGAATTTAATCGTTTGTATTTATTACTTACTTAACGCCAAGAAAATGGTGGCTTGAAGAGAAAAACACATGGCTCAACATTTTTATCAAGCAAAAGAATTGCCAACTCTTTTAACACATAATTATTACCAGGCTTCTTGAAGTCCTGCATGTCTATTACGTACTCCATCACAATAATGACTAACTTGAATGACTAATACTGAAGTATTTTAATCTCCAGTCAAGTCTAAGCGAGTTTTTTCACGTCTCCTCTCACAGGATTATATTCAACTACACGATCGTGTAAAATTAGACAATATGCAGCTGTTCCTTGAGGAAAATTATCTTTTGACTCAAATTCCAAACGTACATTGACTGGCGTGCTTTTCAAAGCTTCATTTTCAAGCAGTCAATAACAATGAGGGGCATATGTGTAATAAAATCTTTTTTACCAATCATGAGTTCTATCTCTTTACCATAGTATGAATTTTGAAAATTTGTATACATACCGTAGAGTAATGCAAACTGATTATTGACAATAATGAGATTGAGATTGCCGTGGGGATAATACTGTGAGTTGAGGAATAATTTGAAATGACTCATACCACAATGATCAAAGCGGCTAGCATTAATTGCTTTTAGACCTTTACGATTTGTTTGAAACCTCAAAATGACAAAGCGAGGTTTTTCAAGCTGATTTGATGTTTTGACAGTCCAAACGTGTTTTGAAGTTGATGGAAGGAGAGGGTACTCATACAGCTCCCAATTACGAAAACTCATAGAAATAGGTCGGTCTTTTGCAATAACATCAAGCAGACAAATTTTTCACCTGTCTGTTGCATTGACATAAGGCATGAGCCACTCTATATGGATCAATGAAATTTTAAAATCCTCGTAAGCATCATCAGCAGCTGTTTGTATAACTGCATTCAAGTCATTTCTCGATCTTGTGAGAATCAACTCATGCTTTGTGTTTACAACAACTTTACGATAGTCTTGAGTGAAGCCGAGTATCATGCTCAAAGGTATGGAAACATCAAAATAACCCGCATTATTAATTAGTTTGCTTGTCTCTGCAATATCTTCCCAGCCTGCGTTTTCTAGCATTGAACTTTGAGTGGAATAGTGTGACACCCAACCCTTCATCAATGTTGTTATGCCAAAATTTTTGCATTCATCTATTTCAATGCCGTTGAGTTCGTAGCGTATTTCTTCAAACAAATAACAAATAGCATTATTAACTAATGCGGTTTGTGTAACTACTTCATCATTGGTCAATGTGAGCCTCCCACAAGTATGTAGAGCACTGTGCAAAGATAACAGGCATAAATCTTGATGTTAAATCAAAATACGAATTTTATCACTATTATTTAATGCCGATGAAATGTATGGTTGATGAGCATAAATTTCATAGTGTACCATTGACTCATCAAATGTGACACTTGACTGAATGCTTAGAATTTCTTCCATCTTTAAAGCAGCAGGAAAATATGAAAATAAATTTAAGCCAACGATTACTTTGAAACCTAGGCTTTTTAGGAACTGTGCGTTATGATGTGTTAACGCTTTGCTTGTTCGTTGACGACTGATTGTTTTTCTCCATTTTGGTTTGCTGATATACCCTCTACCAATTTTCTGCACATTATAAATATTACTTATATTTAATTCGATTGTTTTATAAGAAGTGTTATTGTTATAATTTCTCCTCGAAAATTTACCAAATTTCCATCCTGATCAACAATAGGCACTTGAAGATAATCTATGATTTTCACTGCAACAGGTAAGTAAATTATCTGTGATGGAACTTTAATAATCTTAAAGCCTGTTGGAACTGCAGAAAAAAATTCATAAATCGTATGAACTTTATGTTGGTTAATATGTGCTCCAGTGGTTATGTTGAATTAAACTCTAAGTGCATTTATTTGAAGTATCGCTACAGGCTGATCCAACTCATGAGTGACGTCTGATCTTAGTATACGTCTTGTAAAGCCCTATACTGACCCTAATGAGTCATGTGGTCGAAAATAAATCGGATGACTGCACTTGATTAAGCTGCGAAGTGTGTTATGGTTTCGGCGTCAACTTACTGGGATATTTTTTGATTTAAGTTGATTGATAAGGTACATTTCTATGTGTTCGATTTTATAAGTACCTGTTGGTAGAGTAATTATCTCACCACCCACGTCAAGTTTATAAGTACCCTCAT